CTAAACTCACTTGCTATAATTAAATGCATTCAAATTATATCAATTTTTAATGGAAGAAAATAATACAATAATTTGGAGGGAAGTTGAAAATAAAATTAAGGAAAAATAATAAATAACTTTTAGAAGTAGAAAAATTAAGTGTTAAATATAAAGAACCTGTTAAAGTCCTTAAAAATTTCTTGCTCTAAATTTATACTAAATTTATAGATGCTCTTTAAGCATATAGAGTTTCTTGAAGATGCTCTTAGATCACTAAGATACTATTATTATTTAACATTTGAAATTTAGTAATTTGATTACTGTTTTTAGTTTTGAAACATTTTGCTATTGGACGGGTGGAAGGAATGATAAGAGTCGCAGCTAGCTCCAAAATAAAAAAAATATTCCTTAATTGCATTTTTAAATCTCTTAATAATCAGATATATTAATCAAATATTCCATAATTGCATTTTTAAATCTCATAAATCCAAAAAAATTTCTTACTTTTTAAACACACATTAATCTCCAGAATTTTACTATTCAAAACATTGTTTTGAACAAATAATGACCATCAAACAAGAACTTAGCCTAATCGATCTAAAATGATATAAACCTTCTGCTACTTACAGCTTGCTTGGGAGTGATTTTTCACCCTAAAAAAATTGATCTTTGTTACCGTTATTTCATTATTCTAGCTGTAAAGTTTGACTTCTTCTTTTACAGGTGGTCCCCCACTTTTTTCCTAATGGTCACAAAATCAATTCTCAAAATCACTCCCAAATGGGGCCTAAATCATGACTTAATCTTTACATGCCCAACTTTTTCAAATTAGAATTCGCTTTTTAATTCGGACTGATCAGAAATTTAATGTGAAACATGCTTTCATTATGTAACACGATGATCTAATGAAGTTTAAATAGTTTCTATTGGAGAATTTGTTTTGTAACTATAATAAGAGGTGGTGGATCAAGGTGCCCAATTTTAATGGTTGGGGCCAACTTATTAATAGGATAATGACGTTAGATCAAATGGTGCGATTGTCAACGGAAAATATCTATGGTTAAAAAAAATAAAAAAATAAAATATCTGTAGACAAAGTCCTTACCCGACGGCTGCGGTGGCGGTGGCATTGGTGGCGTTGGTGGCTGGAATACCGCTTCAACCATCGTAGCGTTGTAGAATGGATCAGTTTCGAAACGAAGATAGCAACTAGGCCTAAGGATTCTAACTCCTCTTGCACCCTCACAGCATTCTCGTATCTGTTGGGCAGATTTTGTTAAGCAATCACCACATTCCACTGAGGTTATATCAGGTGTGCACTGCTCGAATGCATAAATTGTCCGATAATTCGGGACATCCCGAGTGGCACCAGCAAACTTCTTTGGAGAGCTATTAAAAGCGGCATGGTCACGAAGACTGTCCAATAGTACGTTCAACTCCTGGTTAAAAACGTCCGTGTTTGTTACATTTTCCCCACTATGAGCCGACCTGTTTGGGGAATTCGCAAGAGTTCCAAAGATAGCCTCGTTGGAGTATCGCACCATACAAAATTCGTGCCATAAAATTGCCTGCCTTTGTCCAGGACACTCCTCCAAGATCCTAGCTGTAGCATCATCGACATAATTACTACATTGAGAAGGCTGAAGATCAGCTCTACAAAGCGCAATGATGTTGACTCTATCAGAATTTTCTCCCATAGAGGCGTTGTAGAATCCATTGGCGTCGATATTAGGCGAAACGGAGGAGAGGAGAGTATCAAGGTTTCTTCCGTACGTGCTATTTCTTGCGTAACTACCGTTGTTTATACAATCAAAATGAATAAAAATTGGAGTTGGAAACTGGGATTTGACAATATCAACAAGGTTCATCAGACAGATTAAGAAAATAAAATTAGGAAGCCTTTTCCAAGAACTCATTGCTGTATACGTGTATATCGTGTTTGTAATATACACATGGAGAGAATACTCAGTGCTATATTTCAGTATGTGTACTGCATATATATAGAATTATAATAATTTAAAACCTATATGATATGGAAAATCCACGCATCAATCCCATCATATCATTTCAAAAATATGTTTTTCTCGACCCACAAATTTATTTATGATAAAATTTTATTTTATATTGAGAGTTTTTATATTTTGATGTTTACAGTTTCAATGTAATTTTTTTATTTTTTTATTCGACACTGTAAAATTAACATGTACCTAATTCATTGTTGAAGAAACATATTTTAGATGGAAAAATTATACTTCTTATACGTGTAACATTTAAAAAGTATTTTTTTCTCAATTGGACTGGTTAAGTTTTACTTAAAATTTAATTGATTTTGAGTACTAGAATCGAGAATTCGACTAGTTTGATTCTCTATTCCAGCTTAAGGACCAAATTCAGACATCTAATGTATTAAACTTTCATTATCTCGTAACCAAATCTACATTTCATTTATTTTATATAAATTAATATGTATTTTGATTAATCATCACTCTAGCTGTCGAAACGAAAAACATAAAAGTGAAAATCAATCTGATCTAACACTTGTCAAAATCGGGCCATATCACAAATAGACGTAAAGTGTGAAAGCAGACAATTAAGATATTTCTTTTCCAATTCTGTATCTGATGAAATTTCAAACCAACCTTGCATGTGTCAATTGTCATAAGATATTTCAATGAGACCTTTCTTCTTTGAACAAGGACCACAATTTGAAAAGGATTAAATTGTATGTATTAAATGAGAAAAAGGAGAATAAAAACTTGTCAATATATTATTCAGTCAAATTCAATATTTCTGGTTTAATCCATTTTATGTTTAGAATTTTCCAATTCGCAAAGGACTTCTAGATACACACGGCAAGCCTAATTGATTTAGACAAAAGTGAGAAAGAGTGATGAAGACAACATTACAAATGCATTAATTTTGAAGAAGCCAAGAACTGATCGAAGAAGTGAAAGTAAACCTGATAAGTGGATTTTTGCACACTTATTTAGATCACAAACATGACTTAAATACAAGCAAAATGATTGAATTGTGACTTAATCTCATTGAATTCATGCAATATAGGTGTTTCTATGGAAATGGTAGAATTCAGGAGAAGAGAGCCGAAAAAGGACTAAGATGAATTAAACTGGAAGTTCGGGAATCAAGTTGCAAATAATTCATAGATGAGACGGGAAATGGAATGAAGATTCAAGAGTGTTAGAAGTCAATCGGA